TTTTTTTAATTCCTGTAATTGGAAATGAATCTTATTATAAGATACCTTGAACAAGAGAAATAGAACTTTTACATTGTATTTGGCAGAGCATAGATTTGTGCTGAATTCCTTACCAGTCGTTTTCATGTAAGTGGAATAATAGATTGATGGCAAGCAACGATAAGTTGTTAAAAATACAAATTTACATGGAACTGAGCTTAAGGAGTTCCTCTCAATCAGCACAGACTCAATGGCAGAGTGAGTCATAAGGGCAGGAACAATACATACATGGACTATTGCTCTCACTCTCCATAATTTGAAGCCGTTTTCTTTTAAGTGACACATTTAAGTTGTCTTTGAAATCAGATGAGATTTTGTACAAATCAGAAACAGTGTTTGGTCAGCTTTGGGTGTTATATTTAAATCCGAACTGGAGTAGAAAACTGAAACAGTGACGGTAAGTAGTGTTCATGACAATGGGTAACTATCCATCTAGACGGTTCCCAAACTTGTTATGCTAGTGAGACCTGTGAAATTCTTTTCTCAGTGACAAAGTGGTATGCAAAGGAAAGTAAATAGAAGTTAAAGTGAAACTTAAGTGCACCTTTGCTTTACTTCCCTGGGTTGTGGAAATTCTCTTTTTCTGGCCTGATCAGTTAGATATGGAAACACCACATCTAGGTTCAAAGTGTGTAGATACAGGAAAACCTTATTTTGACAGCTTGCACATAGGTTCCTCTACCATTTATTCATGAATGAATCACATACCCTTTTTTTTCCAGCTGCAATTTTGTTGAATGCTTTAATTCTCTTTGTCCTGTACTTATACAACCAAATCTCTGTTGTCAGTCTTAAATTGCAAACTCCCAGAGAATAGAAACTTCCATTTTGACCATAAATGTGCAAATAAGGACACAAAGTGCTTTTTCACAGTAATAATCCGTATCTTTCATTAAATTCCTGTAACAACCAAACACACTGCCACTGATTCAATTTTGACTCAGAGTGACCTTATATAGAATTTCTGAGTCTTTATGAAAACAGGAAAGAAGCTCATCTTTCTTTCTCAAAGCAGGTCATGGGTTTGAACCACCAACCTTGTGGTTAGTAGCTCATCATCTAACCCAAAGCTCCACAAAGATTCCCCCTTTCTTTCCATTGATTAAGGCTTTTTTGTTGGTGATGTTTTGTAACAGGTAAAACAGAAGACCATCAGTTAGAAGGGAGAGAGCTCCCAGTATAGGCAGGGTGCTTCCAATCCCTTTAAGATCTCTGGATAAATATTGCTAGGTAATTACAGTTTCTTAGAGGCAGACAGATTTTTGTTGATCAGCTAGCTAAATTTTGTAATTTTACAAGTAAGACAATGGGAAACATAGCCCGATGGGTTATATGGAAGTACTGCACACTGGGTCATAAGCTGCAATGAGCTTATTGTTTGTTACGTTTCTTTCATTTACAGTAGGATGGATACATATTCCAGAGTAGACCAGTTCTGATTTAGGATTTCGGGTAAAACACCATGATACAATGTAGGCAGGCTCTCGGGCAGGAGTCTGGGGGTGAGTGAGTATATGTACATCACCCTGGCATTTCAAGTTCTGCTTTAGACAGAGTCTGGTGTGGAAGAAGGAAGCCTGCTGACACCAAGGTCTTCTTTGTTTATCACCCACCGTTCTATGACCTTGAGCTAGAAACCTCTATTCATTTTTGTGTTATGTGTATTAAATTTCTTCTCCGGGGGGTAGTTGATTCATTAATAATTTAAAAATTGTTTGGGAAAACATACTTGGAGCCTGCATAATGCTGGGGTATGCTTTATTAAGAAGTGGTATGGTAACACAGTCTTAGTGGAGTTTCATCCCTTCCAGTGAAATTTTTTTCTATAGTTTTATTAGCCTATAATTCACCTATCATACAATTCAATAGTTCAACTACATCTAGAAGAGTTGTATAATCATCATCACAATCAGTTAGAAAACATTTTCTTCATTCTTGTACTCATCATTATGAGCTCCTCATTTTCCCCTATACCCCCAAGGAACCAGTTACTGTTTCTATAGATTTACCTATTCTAGATTTCAATACAGAAAAACATTAAACCCAAGCCTCAAGCTAACAACAATAATAAGTAAAACAGATACAAATCTAAATGGAAAATAAAGCAGAAAATATTAAAAACTAGAACAAATTTAAGTGGATTAGAAGGCAGAGCAAACAATAGGGGGCTAAATTTTAACCTAACTGTGTCTGCAACAATCCACTTTGCCATGCATTCTGCATGTGAGCAAGGCTAGTCCCCTCCTGGTCAGAGAGGGTACCAGGGGCTTCATCTACTGTATGTCCTCCTACTTCTTTTTTTTTTTTAATGGAAACAGCTTAAAAATGGGTGAAAAGGGAGATCAAATGATAAGGTATTATATTTTAATATAACCATGTCTGCCATAGCAGACTTTACAGTGCTCTCTGGCTGATAAACAGGCCTACCCACATCCCTCAACTGTGATCAGAGGGGATTCACTGGAGGTTAATCCACGTGGTTACCACCCTGCAAATGGAGATTAGGCTTCCACTGTCATCCACTGCCTTCTGCAAACCAAGTGTTCACAATTTAAGCTCTGATACTATTCCCTCTTTTGGATCTGGACTTTATTTTTTACAACCCTTGGATCACACCGGCTGGTGTGCTTCGTGCATGTGGATTTAGTTGATGCCTCACTTAGATGGCTGCTTGTTTGAGAACAAACCCACAAGACCCCCAGATGCTATTCTTTCTGATAACTGGGCACCATCTAGTTTCTTCACCATATTTTGATATCGCATCCATGTCTTCTGTGATCTCTTCATGACGTTGAGCATCCAGCAGGGTCATCATAAGAACTAATTGTTCTTAGATTGAGGCTAGAATTAAGTGCAAACCCCAAATCCCTTAATGCATCTTTGATTTATATGTGTCCCTGGTTCACCTTAGGGACATCATTGTCATTTTACCCTCAAGAGCATTATCAATTAACTTCCTGGGGTATTACTTCTACTCTTCCAGTGAAATTTGGATATGTTCTACTTTGATTTTGAAAACAGGTCTAGTATTGTTGCTGTCAAAAAAGAAACAGCCCAACTCTACACAGGGTAGCGAAAAATGTGAAGCCTGACTTTGTCTTCTTGCAATCGATGGAAAATACTGTTGAATTGAACCCTAAAGCCAGAGTTCTATAAGGCAGGCACCCAAACAATGTCTCCTTAATGGTAGGATCTTTTGTTTCTGGTTTTTTTCTTTGCAAATAACTTTGAAAAATGTATTTGAAAATAATTCAGAAATTGGATGTCCGGAAATTGAAGAGGGAAAACAGGTCACAACACTGTAAGGCTTATTCTTAAGTTCATCAAGTCTTTTCAGCTTATTTTCCTTTTTCCAGATGGAAATTGACATTCTCCTCGTCAGTCAGAATGCCTAGTTAGAAAGATGTTCAGTTGTGCTTTATTGACTATGCAAAGATGTTCACCACGGGGATCTTAGCCATTTGAATGGGTAGAACCCAGGGGGTGAGGGCCATGGAATATATATTAAGAAAGTAAACATTTGGAAGTAGCCGCCTGGTATTTAGGCACGCTGGTGGTGTAGTGGGCTACATGTTGGGCTGCTAAGCACGTGGTCAGTGGTTCAAAAACACCAGCTGCTCCTCAGGAGGATGACTTTCTACTCCTGCAAAGCTTTGCATTCTCGAAGCCCACGTGGCAGTTCTGCGACCTGTGGAGTCACATGAGTCAGCCTTGACGCTGCAGCAGTGAGTTTGGTTTCCATGGTATCTAGTTACTTAACAAATAACAGAAAAGACAATACCTCTTGAATTCTGTTTCTAAAAATTAGAACATCTTCCATCTCTCGCTGTCCCATGTTTTGAAGATACTGGTTATAATCATCAAAATGCTGTTTGGGTTCTTTTAATAGAAAAACCTAAAATAATGGTGGCTTAAAGAAGATGGAAATTGACTTTTCTCGTCCATGAAGAAATTCAGGGACACCACCACTCAAGACTATATGGTGGCTCCTTGTTTTTCCTAGACCCAGTTGGTTCCAACTCACGGTGACCCTCTTGGCCAAAATAGAAGTGATCCATAGGATTTCTAAGTTGACCAACTGTGACAAAAGGACGTGGCCTCATCTTTCTCCTGTGGAGCAGCTGGTGGGTTTGAACCAGCAATTTTCAGCTAACAGCTTAGTGCTTTACCTACTGTGCCTCTAGGGCTCCCAGGGATCCAGTATTTCTGCCCTCCTGCTCCAGCATGGCTTATTCCGCTTTTCCAAAGCATTGCCTGGTCTGAGAGGGCAGCTAGAGCTCCAGGTATCAAGTCCCAAAAGCAGGCTCAAAGGTAGAGGAGGAAGAGCAGGGTGGCAAAAAGGAGGCTCTTCCCAGTTGAGTCTGCTCCCTTGAATCAGTCTTCAGAAATCCCATTTATTTCTCATAGGCTAGAACCCAGCAGTGTGCCTCAAGGAGACTGGTGGTAGTGTCAGGTAAGCCTTGGACTGGTGATGGCATGGTCAGCAGTTCAAAACCACCAGCTGCTCTGCAGAAGAAGATGCTTTAGATATTTACAGCCCTGGAATCCCTATCTAGTGTTGCTTTGAGTCAGAATTGACTCATTGGTTGTTTTTGTTTTGTTTTAAAGCTACCTTCCGCAGCTAGCTGCTACAGCGATAGAAAATGCAGTTTTAAATTATGGGTCGGAATATGCACAGGTAAAAACTAGGATGCTGTTGCTAAGAAATTGCCTACCCCAAGAGCTGGGGAGTGGATGTGGGGTAGCCAGGACTATAAAGATTTCATTTTGTGTTCCTTAAATTTGCTGGATCTTAAGGCTACAACGTAGAAAGTCAAAACACCTCTTTCTGGTTTTGCTATGAGCTATAGTTTCTTAATTTAGAAATCTGGCTTAATTTAGAAATCCTGTTTCTTCTGTGAAGTATCATTTCTTTATTTGGCAATCTTGCCTTACTCTTGCTCTCTTCTCTCCTCTTTCAGCTGTTCTGGAAAGCAGCAAGGTCTAGACTTCTCCATGCTAACCATGAGTGTGACTCTGTCCCCACTGAGGTCACAGGACCTGGATCATCCCATGGCTACGGACGCTTCACCCATGGCTATCAACCTAACACCCACCGTGGAGCAGGGTGAGGGGGAGGAGACAATGAAGGACATGGATTCTGACCAACAGTATGAGAAGCCACCCCCACTGCACACAGGGGCTGACTGGAAGATTGTTCTCCACTTGCCAGAAATTGAGACCTGGCTCCGGATGACCTCGGAGAGGGTCCGAGACCTAACCCATTCGGTGCAGCAGGACTCGGACAGCAAGCATGTGGATGTGCATCTGGTTCAACTCAAGGTAAGGCGGGTCTCTGGCCTCAGGGAGCAATCAGGACATACATCTGAAGAAGATTCTGGTTCCAGGGAGCTGAGTTCTGTCATTCCCACTACGGAAATGTCTAGAAAGAAAAATTACGTAACAATTTCAAAATGGTTATTCCTGTAAGCAAACATAGGCAGAATTAATTCTTTCTTGACTGCTTCATGTGCTGATTATCTAAACCAAAACCAGTCTTTGGGGAAAATGTGGAGGAGTGGCGAAAGAGAGAACCCTTTTTAAGCAGTGTCATAAACATTGGTTGAAAGGAGTGTGTGTTTTCAAAAGATTACAAAAGGTTTAATAAAAATAAAAACTTTTGTAGGTAGAACTTCAAACTGAGCTTTGATTGCATGCGTGTCTGTGCTTGTTATCTTTATTGACATTGATGCTGTCTCTGTGCAAAGAATGGATTCTGGCCTGCTCGGGAAGGGCAGTGTTGGCCTTTGAAAATGAGTCTTTTCATCCAGGCACAGAGCATTGTGCAGAGCAAAGGAGCCTTGATAACAATTTACTCAAGTTCAGACATTGAAAAAACGGCCTGGTTTGGGGAGTCTTCTAAAAGTCTAAGTGTCGGTCATAATGGAATAGGGGTGCTAATACAGAGTGCTGGTCATAATGGAATAGGGGTGCTAATACAGAGTGCTGGTCATAATGGAATAGGGGTGCTAATACAGAATGCTCTAGATAGGTTTCTGGCCTCGAGACACCCAGATGTTGGGAATCTTGTCTTCCCATAACCACATAATCTCTCTTCTGCAGCAGTGAGTTTGCAAAAGCTCAACCAGTAGCCGCTGAGTTGATTGTGACGCATGGCGACTCCTGGTGCGTCACAGAGGAGCCGGGCTCCGTAGGGTTTTCAGTGGCGGAGTTTTCAGAAGTCAATCACCAGACCTTTCCCCACAGGCAGCTCTGGGGGCACTCAGACCAACACTATTTTGATAAGCAGCCTGGCGCGTTAACAGTTTCCAACACCAGGGCTCTTGTCCGAGTTCAAGACTTAATTGTGTCTCATTGCAACCCCATAGGATGGGACTGCCCCTTGGGTGTCCCAGCTTGTTATTCTTTACAGGAGTGGAAATTTTCATCTTTCTCCCCCAAGTGGCTGTCTTTGCTATTAGCAACCCAATGCATCACCCACTGTAACCCTAGGACTTATTTTTTCTAGGTTTTAAAACACCAAACTCACTGCTGCATAGAAGTGATGTCAAATCACAGTGACCCAGTGGACAGGGTAAAACTGTCCCTCCGGGTTTCTGAGACTGTAACTCTTTATGAGAGTAGAAAGCCGCATCTTTGGTCCAACATGTAAACCACTATGCCACCAAGCTAGTTCATCCTAAATGACCTGAAATTAAAGGCTAAACAGATTACTGGACGTTAATACTTAAATGGCTTACCTGATATAGCCTTCAGTGAGAAAGATTGGAGATAAGTCCCAAAGCCTGGAGCCAAGATACCTCAACCTTCTCAGACTGGTTCAACAGAGAAAGAGAATGTGGCAGAGAATGTGTATTCAGCAGAGGGAGGTGGAGAAGAGAGAAGAAGAAAGAGAGTCAGAATGTCAAAGGTGGCTGGGTTTCTTCAGGTTAAGTAAGGCTTGGGGTCTTCTCTCTACAGGTTTTTTGGAGGAAGAATATATTACAGATATAGGATGATGTTTCTATAAGAGATTGACTCTTAGTCTCCTCAGTCTTTCAGACTTACAGAAAAGGTGGGTTCCACTCACTGACGTGGTGAGTTTGAACTGCCAAGCATTTGGTTAGCAGCAGAGCCCTGAATCTGTTGTCAGTGACGTGAGCCCACTCAATGTTGTGCAGGAGAAAAGATGACAAGATGCTCCCATAATGATTATACCCCAGGATACCCTAGGGGACAGTTCTCCTTTGTCATATAGGATTACTTTGATTCCATGGCACAAAACCACAGAATTAACCCTTTACCACCTTTTCTGTAAGATGCTAATCATTGTTATTAGATGCTGTCAGTGAAGTTCCCTCTTAAAGCTATCCAATTCCTGTCGAGTGGGAACCTCAAACCAGATATGCCCTTTCCAGATCTCTGGCCCTTGCCATAGCTGATCCTCCAGCAGTCCTCCCAGTTTCAGTCAAAGATACCACCCCTTGCCAAGTCAAAGCAGGATCCCCCCACCTCTCTATATGGTCTATCTCGAAAATATGCCCTCCATGCGTTCACTTGTTCTCAGCGCTACTCCCCCCGAGAACCCTTGGAGGCATCGTCGATTATGTTCTGGGCTGCTAACTGGGAGGTCACCAGTTTGCAATCACCTTTTCTCCACTGGAGAAAGATGAGCCTTCTATTTCTGTAAAGATTTAGTCTCAGAAACCGACAGGGGGCAGTTCTATGCTGTCCTACAGTCAGGATCGACCCAGTGGCCATGGGTGAGACTGTGCCCACTCCGAATCAAGCCGCATCACTGCCTGGGCTACTTGAGCCGGAAGTCAGGATTGATTCGAAAGCATGGGGTGGCTCATCTTTTTGTTTCCACTTTTTCATACAGCAGCCAATGGAATCTTCAGAAATAGGCCAGTCAGCCCTGTCATGCCTTACTTTTTATTGGATTTATAATAAAAGCCAACTTTCTTCCTGTGGCTGTGCCTTTGCTTTCCTCTGGTCTTATCTTCAATTTCCTTTCCTTCATTCGTGGGGTCCAGGCATCGTGGAAGTTCCACAGAAGTGATAAAACAGTTCTTGCCACATGCTGTTTGCTGTTCCTTCTGCCTGGACATTCTATCCCCCAACTCTGTGTGGCCGACTCTTGATCCTCAGCAAGCAGTCAGCCAGAGGCCCAACCAGGATCTAACATCTGGAGGTTCGCACTGGGAGTCGGGTTGGGTAGGGGTGGAGTGTGAGGAGATATGAGGCTTGAGCTTTTTGTTGGGTGAAGGGGCAATTACAAAATAAGGGGCCAACTGTTAACAAAATGTCTAAGTGCGCTTACTGGCGGCTTTCTAAGCCATAATCATAATGTTCTCCACAGCCATGTCAATGTGTAGCTTTCAGAGCAAGCGTTGTGTAATGCTTTAGGGAAATGCTCAGGGTCGTCTTGGCCTGTGGCTTTATGGTACATGTCACTTTCTGGAGAAACCATTCTTCTCTCTCTTCATAGAACACCCATCCCTCTCTCTCCTTTGAACCTGCTTTGTCTTTAAATGGTTTTTACCAGGAGCTGCAATGATCTTATTCCTTGTTTGTGTTTTCCTCCAGTGATTTGGATGGCTCATTTTCCTACTGTATCTGTCTTGCCTAGAACAGGCCCTGGAACTTGATGGGGGTTCAGTTCACCTTCACGATCGATCGGATGAAACCCTAATCAAACTCACTGTTTTTGAGTCAATTCCTACCGATAGCAACCCTATTAGGACACAGATGTAATGTTTCCAAGGCGGTGTGGCTCTTTAGTGAAGCAGATTGCCACAACTTTCTCCTGTGGGACAGCTGGTGGGCTCAAACCACTAACTTTTCAGTTCGACACCAAGGGCTTAACCACTGCCCCATCAGAGCTTCTGTTACCAGGAGGAGGCCCAAATTTTCAAGCCTCTCCGGAATGCTGTTCTTGTCCTGCTTGCAAGAAAGATTTCAGGTGAGGGGCCAAATTCAGACCAGAGTCAGCAAGAAGGTTTGACTACAAGGAGTGAGTTTATTGAAAGGAGATCGTTTGGGGG